TTCGACAACGGCTGCTCGGCTGCGTTTCTGGCGCTCTCCAATTTTTCAAGATCGACGATTTTCGTGTCGTTTCTGCCTACGTCGTATCGATATTTCTTTGCGCTTATTCTTCGACGCTCGTTGATCTTCCCATTGCACCGTTCGGCTACGATAATTGTTTACAGGACTCTGGCCACCGACAGCGGTTTCGCTGACGAGATTTTCGCTAGTCTATTTGACGCCGCTAATGGTTATGGTAGCAGTAGCAATAATAATTAGTTGATTTTGGCAGCACGAATTAAAAATTAATAAAATGAACCAATACTCTCCAATATCTATGCTATCCATCTCTTCCTCTGGACGCTCACGCATTTTCATCTACATCCATCTCACCGTTCGTACATTTTCGTTCACGATTTTTTTTCGTTATTTCAATCGATTGGGTTCATTTGTTGCCATTGCGGTGGTTCCGACGAATTTGGCCGGTGTTGACCTGACTCAGGAGAACGTCACAAAGCAAGTGCGCCCTTTCAGTCCAGTAGCAGCTGGTGGCATCTCTGTTGGTGAAGGTAAGCACAGAATTGGTAGAGAATTAATTTTTCGCTTAGGGGGGTGTTCGATAAGCTACGCCGCGTACGGGCAGTGCGTGTATGGAACCCACGTAACCGATGTGTCGTCCTGAACTGACTGATGGGTTTCATGCGAACAAAGGGACCGTAGGGAGATATTCGCGCGATGGGAACGGTTAGTCAGTACAAATGGCGTCATTGTCGATGTTTGTTTCTCGAAGGGATATCATTCACAACGTAGCGTAACAAGCGTTAATTGTTGTTGTATCTGGAGAAATGATCGGCACGACTTGATCAGAACGATGGCCTATGTTGAGGTATAAAGTAAATCGTCCAGGTTAGTTTTTAGGAAAGGGTTTCGTGGATACGTGACACAATATTGAACTGTCGAAGCATAACTGATCGTAGTCACTACTGATTGCTTGTGTATTTTTTTTACAATCATAATAAATAATGTTCAGACAATTGGAGAATCAGATCGGAAGATCCTGTAACGACACGTTGTCAAGGCATCTGTAGCAGGGACTCAATAACAAATATTGTGCATCTAAACAAGTAACAAGTCTCTTCTACTCGTTGTTAATAAGTAAGCAAGAACAGGGCCGGGTTTTCACTGGTTCATCATCTTCACTGGATTTTCATAGTAACTGACAGAGTCGTTGTCGTTTGGCGTAAGAAGAAAGAAATAAGCTCCAAGTTATCGATCTACTATGCAGGTTCTGCCTTGACGATTATTCGCGTAAGATAGCTTTATGCCTCGTTCACTCTTTGTTAATTTTTATTTTTTTGAACATATCAACGTTGTCTAGTCTACGAAACCCGGCCAGTCCGATCAATCCATCTAAACATATCACGGAACTGGTGGCGTTTGTATGAAACCCAATGAATTAGTTTGTGCTCTAAATACCACGGTTCCTGTTGTCGAAATGCAAAATGTGTTCGTTAGTATCAAGAAGGACACGCTTAGTGGCCATTTATCTGCCACGAATCGACCCGTCCCCAACGGTGTCCATGTCGGTGCTATGATGGATCAATGACAGCTTCCACTCACGGACACCGTGCGACCCCACTACCTACGGCCTGAAGCCTGCATAAACAATCACATCTACATTCATCGATCATTTGCTCATCTAGTAGCTATCATCATCCACTACTGCTTTACTAATGGTTATTATAGTAATTAATAATAAAGACATTCTACTTTTTTCGATAGATATATATATATATATATTAACTCCAAAATTTTGTGCTAACTATGTTCGCGACTTCAACGAACTCTATGTGTACGGATATTTTTCTTTTATAATAGTAATAATAACAGATATGGGGGGGGGGGGGGGTGAGGGCTGGGCAGTTGACTCAGCTAATATTAAGTGTGAAGTAACTTAAGCGAAGACGTGTGTTAAAGAAAAAAACATATGGTGAACAGTAACGAGCATCTGCAAATTTTATGCTGTCATGTACTAGTTGAAATATATATATGTATATATATTTCAGCTAGTACATGAAGGGAGCATTAACAGAAGCACAACAGACAAATCAACGAGAATCAACGGAGAGCGCATCCCTTCTCCCTCTCGTGGAGCGCTAGTTTTTACCGTGCCTATCCCTCGAGTCCGGTTCGCCCGCCCATCGGCTTCATCCTCCCCGTCTTCAGTTGCCCAAACTTGCCTCTCTTACACTGTGCACCGTCTACTTGCGCCATAATGATAGAATACGAATTCCACCTGCCGTTATTGTGCAAGCAGTTCTTATATAGCTGTTACTATATAAAGCAGATGCTGCTGTGGATATTGCTTGGATCGTTTTCCGTTTCTGCTGTGACTCTTATGTAATATATATATATTTGAAATGCTACCTGAAATTCTATAACATATCACTGCGCTGAAATTAGTCTGCTGCCGTTCTACCTCTTAGTGCTGCTCCTGGTGGGCCTAGCAATGGTTACCGTTATTGGAACGGTGTAGCCCCACCAGCGGAACGCGGACTATCGGTGTCTACATCTCGTCACATTTCGATTTATGGCCATTACCAGCACCGGCGGTGTTTTGCCAAACCGTCACCGTGACGGTAATGGAAGGGCTGGATTGGTCGTTTACGAAATCGCATATATGCGCATATATATGTCTATGAAGGATACTGACCGAATAAATTGAAACCAGGAAATCTTATGATGTCTGGCTAGCGGGCTAAATCGTACTCGCAATAACGTTACTAGCAGCAGTATTAACAAGAGCAGAATCAGCTACTGCTAATCGACTATCATACGATGTCAAAATTAGCGGAAAAACACAGCAAAGAGTAGATGTGTGCGACCGAGAGAAAGCGAGAGAAAACGGAATCGCGTCTAGCAAGGAAAACAAGCATACGGAATGAGAGATAGGATACAAAGCAGGAAGAGAGAAAGATCGAGACAGGGGGAACGCCGCCACAATGATCGAGGTCTGCTGTAACTTTTACCACTGTTGCTGTTGTCGCTACATCACACACCAAACGGCAATTCTAGTTTCCTCAACCACCATCCTCGGCCCCACCGCATGTCCAGTGACGAGACAATCTAGTTGGTTTGGAAAAATATGTATTCTACTGATGACATTATAGGTACAACTGCCAAAATGAAATGTTGTTCTTGTCTAATGGCGTCCGACAATAACGACGGGTTCATATAAGGTTTCGTCAACGCTTAAGGGGTTCGTTAAAGGCTACTTCTGTTGCCACTGTGACTGATATGTGCGTTGTTCCGCGTTCCATGTTGACCTTGGCAGGATCGTGGACGTTATCGGCGTTCCGTGATGGCTTTGCACAACCCGTTTGGTTAGGGCTGCTTCCTTGAAAAAAGGAAAGATAAGCACGGAGAAAAAGCATTTACTGATAAAATATCACACTGGTAATAAAGTCATACCGTCGAGGTGGTTGTTGCCGAAAAGAAATTTCTGAGCAAACGGCAAAATACTGTGGCGGCTGCCATCAAACCCGATTAGTATATATGCCCGGTCGAAGACACTAAATAAAATGGCAATTTATCATAGTGAACTATCTCGCATATAGGATTTGTTTTTGACAGGACTCGATGTAATGGCCTGAGCACTAACGTGCACGAGGAGTAGCAAGCCAAGCTGCTCTGTCACTGAGAAACAGACTGTTTGGTGGACTTATTGCCGTGCAGAGCTTGTCTTATTACTCAGCTTTAATAGGGCTTAGCGGCACTTGTTTATTCTGCGTAATACGGTATAGCTGTATGTCAGTATGTATAAAAAATAGAACTAATCTCCGCGGTAGCGCAGTAGTAATGTGTTGTCCTACCAAATTTAAAGACACATGAGGTGATCTAGCTTCAAATCAAGGGATAGATATGCTCCGTTTTGTATTGAAAAAGTCAGCCATCTTAAGCAATTTCCCGAACCCGTACTGAACCTAAAACTCAAAACATTCTATTTATTTATAGAGCTATACAATTATATAGGTGATACTCACGGTTCAGAATCTGATCATAGATGTATATTCATAAAAAAGAGGATTTTGGATATAAGTAATACCTCGGCTTTAGGAGTCTCCAGGCTCCTCCAAGTTAATCAAAACTTACTCGCTTTTAAACTTGCCTGTTTCTATATTGAGACTAACCTAACTATATATATATATATATGTAGTAGAATAAGAACCTATATATGCACCACGGAAAATTGCATAAATCCCGACATGGTTATACTTTTTCTCCTAGACATTACAAAAGTTTCATTTTATGTAGTGAATTCTATGTAATTCATCCTAAACTTAACGGTCATCATCCGAAGACAGAACGTTCTTACAGGACAATCGATTAAGGTCCTAGTTGTGAACTGAGGCCACCTAACTATGTCGTACAATTAATGAATTGTTATAGTGAATTGCATAAGCGTAATTCTATTAACATGGACTAGTACATAGTTGTATCACACTTGTCCATGCGTGTCTCCTTAGCGCAGGCCCCTTAATTACGGGTTGTATAACATTTCAATTCATGTCTTCTGCATGAACATACTTCAAAGCATGTTTCTCCATTCGTGTCTGCCCGATCTCTCCCGCTTTCTGCGTTTCTACACCGTAAGAGTTTACGCATTTCTAAATTCTTCGCGCCCGTATTATCCGTCGCTATTAATGTTCTTATAATTTGGGGTCCTTCTTTCCTTTTTTCCTATTTCGTTTTACTTATCTCGAAGCCCTGATCGCTCAGTAGCCTGTGGCGTTGCTCCGGCCCCAAACTGACTCTTGAGCTGGCGACATTTTCGTTTGCGTGACAGGCGCCATTCTACCCTGATGCTTGTCCGCGATCACTTCGTTCCTCTTTTTTGTTGACTCTCCTACCCTCCTTTAATTTTCTGTACATGTCCCGTCTCGTTTCGCGATGTGGATGCAAACGCGTGCGATGACGATCATTTGTTGGTATACGTAGCGACTAATGCATCTTTACGACAGTGTTGTCTTTTTTCTTTCGCGGAGCGTCCTGCTTCTGCTGTTCTAAAGCTGCCCTTGATCTCTATATTGGATCAGTCTCGAATTCTGCTCAAACTTCAGTTATGTTAGGAAAAATCAACGAGCTCTTAACCGATTAACAAGTAAACAAAATGATAAATGATGCCAAATTCGTGTTGTTTGGTGTGTCATTTCAAGCACCGTTGATTCACCTACGTGTTCAACCACTATCAGCCTTTATCTTGCATTTGGAATCTACTCTAACGGACCTGTCGACCCGCTAACCAGCCATCTTTGTCACTCTTCACAATAGCGCCGATTTCCATGACCGACTGAACGAATCGTAGAGAGCAATGGCGGAATCCCGAAATGCCCGTGTGCGACCGTGAACGACGACGTAACATGTAGGGCGCTTCTAAAGATTGCGTTGGGGACATTTTGAGACGGTGCTTGATTTTACAGTGATTGAACGACTGACTTCGTTCAATTTCGATTGAGCTTTTCGCTATTCTTGTTGGCCCTCTGCAGTGTTTAAGTTCACTCGTCTCTGCGCCAACTTCGATACGGTCGTTAAAAGTGGCATCGGATGGTGCGTTTAAAATCGAGCCCCTCACCAATACACAGTGACGACCGCCGTCACAGCGCAAGGACATCTCAATATTGAGTTTGAATCGAAGTTATTCTGTGCAGTGCAGACGACGTAGTACTCGATACGTCAAGATCATCGGAATTGCAAGTCGTATCCGGTGGCAATATCTTCCGCGATCCAACAAAAGCACGGATTAGCAAGACTTTGACCCTAATAAAAGTTTAAGTTTGGAGAAAAATAATAGTGGACGAAAGCAAAGAGATCAGAACGGTATTCTTAGATGAAACAACAGCGCTTCATGTGTGATTTGTTTGTCTGCCCGTGCGAATGTTACCGTTAGCGCTTTAAATGGGGCCGAATATATATTTTCTCCAAAATTAGCTAATACCAATGCTTGATAGACATCAATATACTAGTTGTCTGTATATAAATGAAAATATGTACTTCTACATAGCTGCTACGTGTGTATTTGCTCATTTTTGCAGAAATTTTGCATTTTGGTTTTGACTGATTATTACAAATTAAACTCAACATGGTTGTCTGTGTTTGGGAACGTGTTTTAAACAATCAAATATCTTAAAAGTTTTACCAGGTGTATCCCTTGGCCCAATAAAATCTACGCGATGAGTCAGCTAAAGCACACATCATCCTAACAGAAGCACGATGTCGACGGAAATAACGAAATCAGGCGATCTGATAAAGAAGACCAACCAGTCAGAACATGCCATCGGTAAGTTAGGTCCGCCTTAAGTGGCTTCATTTTATTTGAAGTGATAACCTAATTAAGGCCATAAAAGACACGGCAACGACCTAATTAAATTGGGTGATAATTATTTTGTTATCCCGCTATCTTATCGTGCGAGGCATAATAGACCGCTTCTGATACCAGAAAAT